GAGAGAGAGAGAGAGAGAGAGAGAGAGAGAGAGAGAGAGAGAGAGAGAGAGAGAGAGAGAGAGAGAGAGAGAGAGAGAGAGAGAGAGCATGCGATGATAGTGACCTCCTACAACTGTTGCTGACAGATTTCGTTGTGAAACTTCTAATTCACATCACTGTCTTCGCCTCCCCCCCCTCTCCCCCGCCCACTGTTCAAGGCCTTACACACAAACTTTCTCTATTTCTTTCCCCGTCTCTACCTCTCTCTCGGGTTGGGACAATGAACTCCAAGTCGAAATCATCATCCGTAATAATTATGTTCTTTGCCCCACTCCTCTGGACAGAAGGCAGACCAGCCCGAAATAATGTAACGGCCCTGTCAGAAACAGATACAACGCGGTCCAGCTTAAAGATCGAAAAACTCATAACCGTGTCGCGGTTGCGGACTGATGAAGCGATGTTCCACTTTATACATGCTAATTTTTGTATCTGGCCTGCCGCTCTCCTGGTCTTCGTTGTCAGCGCGACTTTACATTGAAGAACCATTTTTGCGAACGCAAGTTGCTGCAACGTCACGCCGAGGTTCGTGTCGTCCCTCCTCATCTGGAAAACCTTAGTGAGTGTCGTCTTGAACGCAAGTGCGCCCCAAGGATTGTTGTCACCCCGTCTCCATGTTATGTCCCCTTCATCTCTGCTCGCATCTTGTTGCGAGTAGGGAGCTGGTGATCCATTTGTTGTGATCGGACAAGTGAGAGTTCTTTCTCTGCCCAAAACCAATGCTTTAGTTGCCATGTGATCTCTCCACTCATTGTTGTCATCATCCTGTTGCACTTCCTTATCACTGCTCGGATCTCACTCTCCTCTAAGTGTGATCGTAGTCCTTCCGCCGCGTTTTTCCCTATTAACTTTGTTGTTGCTTGCAGTGTCGTGAAAAATTTACCCTCTGTCGGGTATAACATTGCATCCTTTGCAGCGGAAAACGCAAATGCTTTTGCGATTGAACGGAACAGCCATTATCAGTTTTTCATTTCACATACATCAAATGAAATTCAATAATAACTACGTCAGTTATGTCCCTAGTCATTGCGACCCCCGTGTTGTGATGGCGAGAGAGAGAGAGAGAGAGAGAGAGAGAGAGAGAG